GTTTGTTAAAGGTGTGTATAGCGTAGTGTTTGTGAAGAAGCCAGAGAGAGACAACCTCACAGTAATTTCATTATTAAAGAATTTGCAAGTCACTTTGCATTCAAAGCTTGAGACTGAAGCTTGAGACGTTTTCAAGTTCATCTCCAGGGTGATCCCAGCAGTGCAGTTTATTAGCTCTTGAACCATTAGGTCAGCCCATTTCATTTTCACTGTGTATAAGAGCAAGCTGCCACTGTAGAATCTCAATTTCTTATACACTATTTGTAATTACAGTCATTTTATTGATGTTCCATACTGAAAATATTTGTTGAGGTTGTTTTTTCCCCTGTTACTCAATGTCACAGCAAAATGAATAACCCATTTGTCCATGTTGTTTTCTTTTACATTGAAATTTGAATATTTTCACACTCAACTGCACTGTGTGATGTGAGCTTCCTCTCTGTTTCACTACTTTAAAAGCCATTTCTGCAACCCTGTGGACAACAGAGGTACTACAGGAGTGAATGTGCTTCATTGTACTATATGTTTACGTCTACATTTTAATGCAATATAATTAGAGGGAATAAAAACATTTCAAGTGATTTAAAAAAATCTGAAGTTGTGAGTAGTTTTTGGTACATCTTGTTGTGATATCTTGGTTTAATGCTGGAGTAGCTGATGGCCCAGATATATCACTATTGCCCGAGGAACCATAAACACAAAACAAGCAGAGGTCCTCTTTACCCCCATTGCCCTGAGCCAACCAGGGGAAAGCACAGCATCGTTCCCATAACAAACCACCTCTTACAGCATAAAAACTGCGTCAGATAACAGAATCCTTGCTGCCTTAGACACGTCTCCCACTAAGAGTCTGTGATGTTATACTAGAACATCAGAATTGTATTTCAACGTGAGCTACTCTAATGTGGACATAGCTGACCTCGTGAAGACTGCAAAATGGTTCAAGGATTTTCTGAGATAGCCGCAATGTGTGTCGGGCTGTTTGGCCTGATCGGGGCGGCGGCTACTACAGGGATGCCCATGTGGAAGGTGACAGCTTTCATTGGGGCAAACATAATTGTGATGGAAACCCGTTGGGAGGGCTTGTGGATGAACTGCTACAGACAAGCCAACATCAGGATGCAGTGTAAGGTGTACGATTCCCTGCTGTTCCTACCTGCGGATTTACAGGCAGCCAGGGGTCTGATGTGCTGTTCTCTGGCCCTGTCGGGACTGGGGCTCCTTGTGGCAATGGCAGGAATGCGTTGTATATCCTGTATTCAGGAAAATGATCGGGCCAAAACTATCATCCTCCAGGTTGCAGGTGGTATGCAGTTCATGGCCTGTGTCTCTGTCATTATCCCTGTGTCGTGGACTGGTCATGCCATCATTCGAGATTTTTATAATCCTTTGCTAATCGATGCCGAGAGAAGGGAGCTTGGAGAGGCTCTCTACATAGGTTGGGTGACCAGCGCCTTCCTTTTCGCCTCAGGCATGTTGTTCGTCTGCCGCCGTAGACCTTCAGAGAAAGGCTCATTCAACGTGTACAACCAAGCCAACTTGCTACGTTACAAGCCAGCAGCCAGCAGGCCGACTCTAATGAGGTATCATCCCATTTCGAGTGTTCCCAGCCTCCCATCAAATGCTTACTATCCTTCTCTGCAGGCCAACGGCTATGTTGGACAACAATTTGCAACGCCAATGCAAAACATCCCCCGAGTGATGACAAATGATGGAACATTAATCAGCCCTCCTGTCGTCTATAATCCAGGTTTGCCTGACAATCAGTCAATGTTATATCAAGACAGCCTGGCTCACCATTCCTCCATGCACAGTTCTAACCATGTTGAGAGCTTGTATACACCGGGCAACTCTTTGTACATGAGCCAGAACACCTCGCCATATTCCCTGACTTATATGAGCAATCCTGCTGCGTCCTACCAGTCCAGTATTCATCCGGTTCCACACACTCCTGTGTTCATAGGGTATAAATCATCAAGGAGAGAACTACAGTCTCGCAGTGGAAGCGGTCCTGGTGTATACATCTAGACAAAAATTGTGAGTGGGTTTTTATTAGCTGGTTAAACATTAAAGACACAAAGCACTATAGTTTATCATCACAAGCTTATTTCAACTGCTGTACATAAGAGGCAAGATGAGGGTCAATTAATGCCTGACGCCCAGACTAAATTGCTTGTCTATCTGTTGTTGTTTTTTTTACAATTAATACACAAAAAAGACAAGGTTGAATATAACTGCTGGTGATGTTAGTGTAAGTATAGGTCCCAGTGGGCTGTTTCAAACTTACTTTTCCAAAATAGAAAGACCCTGTGTTTTGCATTTTTTGTATCTGTCTTATATTTAAAGAATGTGTGTTGGTTATGGTTTTAGTGGGTTATTTTTAATTGTCTTTTACCAACGGTATAACTAATTTAAAGCTATTTGTTAGAGTTGTTTGTCATACGTTTGTATTAATAACTTATCAATAAACAACAATGTTAAATGACGATTGTTAAGTGGAACGTCCAGTCTTTAAGATGCAGTTTATCCAGTTCATTATATTTGTTTTGTATATAATCTTTTATTGGGAAGCAATAGTGGTCCAAAATGCATTGTTTTTGTTTTCCTGCATATTTCCCAAAATGTTTTCTAGGATGTGTTGCACTATAGCAAAAATAAGAAAATATTAATTGCAACTGAATAAACTGTGGTCATGGTAAATGTGTTGTTTTAAGCTCTTCATTTGCGTTACAATTGTACTGAACTCAAAGCCTTTAAATGCCAGACAATATAACGTAAAAAGGTGAGACTACCTGAATGGGTCTTCACAGACACATGGTAAAGAGCTATTGAACTATTTAAATATATCTCAGCTTTGTATCAACAGCAAATACTGTGTGTGTTGTGATTATTGCATGATTTGTTATGCTATCAACATTGTGGCCGGAATCAAACCTCAACACTGACTTTTCACCACTAGAGTGCACCAGAGAATGTGAGGAGCATCCAAACCCTGGACTCCCTGAGCAGGCTCCAGAGGGATAATGCCCTCCTTTCACTGCATTTCTTTAGCTGAAGCTTTATTAAAGGTCCCATGTCATGGCCATTTCTACTGATCATAATTCCATTGTTGAGGTATACTAAAATAAATGTATATTGTGCAATTTTCCAAACTCACATTGGTTTCTCATACAGCATCTCTGTATAGTATGTGTATTCACTCTCTGTCCTAAACGGCTTGTTGGAGCTCCTGCCCCCCCCCCCTCCCTGTGAGCCCAGTGGCCGTGTGCGAGACAGCGAGACACCGCGGAACTCAGCCTGGGCACACACACACCCGCAGCCTGGCTGGGAGTTTGTGTGTGTGCCCAGGCTGAGTTCCGCAGTGTCTCGCTGTCTCGCCGACCCCACACCAGTGAGCCAGCTCACAGTGTCCCGCTCCTCGCAGCAGCGAGCCTCGCAACGCCCCGCCGAGTGTGTGTGTGTGAGGAACACACACACACGGACGTAACGTAACGGCTCCGCAGATTGGTCCAAATGGACCGTGCCGTTACGTTACGTCCGCGGAGCCGTTACGTCACTATACCCGAAATACGTCACTATACCCAAGAAGTAAACAATGGAAAAAGAGAAATCTCCAACGAGGCGTTCTGGGGCAGCATAGAGAGGTCTTTTCTGTGTTAGAGTTTTACTCGCTACAGGGTGTACTTTGAGGGTTTGTGACTCTGCAGACCGTTTACATGCAGAAAAACCTTCATAACACACAAGGGGACGGGTAATAACCGGAAAAGCATGACATGGGACCTTTAACAACACATACGTTTCAAACCTTAGAAACTGGTCATAGTACAGGCAGGGAAATGACAAACATGGAGAGGATACATTATATTATAACATTGCATTCATTAGCTTATGATTTAAAAAAGATGCTTATATTCTCTATACGATACATGTTTTATGGTTTAACTTATCTTTAATGCTTTCACCTCATGAAGAGACTTTACACTTTGAGCCCCTAAAGATAACATATTTTCTCTCTAATTTTGCTTATTTCTGGGGAATTAAATCATAGTGAGATTACAGTAATCCCAAAAACCAACGAACACCCCATGGTGCCTCCTTAGGGAGCAGTGGGTGCAGCTTTAACACCAGTTGATGATCGTTGCAGCTGAGCAACCAAGACAACTTTTTAACTTCTATCCCAAACCTCTTAAGGTCATGTGAACACATTTTATTCTACTATGAGAATGTGTCATATAAACAGTTTGAGGTAGTTAATCTTCAAGAGAGCGCCACAGACCAGTTTGAAGATTAGATTTGCGTTTCCATCAGGACTGGAGCAAAGATTTAATCATTCCTCGGTGTACCAAAGCAAAGACGTTGTCGAGGTCGAATGTTGCCAGATTTGAAGTTAATCTTCAGGACGTATCCATGTTTGCGGATTAGTGGCTTGGCTGTGCCCTCAATTGAGCGCCTGCACGGGAGGGATGCTCAGCTGTGTCAAGTCAGCCACAGATGGCAAGAGGGAGACAGGAAACATGGCAGGCAAGATGTCAGAATAAAACCATTGTAGAAGATAGTTCAAATATCCTTTTGCAATTTCAAATATAAGTGTTTACATGAATAAAGAATTGGAGATTAGGTAAATAGCATCATAAGAAACCCCTGTTGGATTGAATATAGCAATCAAGTGCATTTAGGGAAAAAATGAAAAATATAAGACTAAGATTATTAAAATATATAAATAAATTAAATAAATAAATATCCACAGCACTGGAAAAAGTATAATTAAGGGTCAGATTTGTTTAAAGATTCTAATAAAATGTGTATAATTTCTATCTATAAGTCTTTTCAATTTTAAACATGTTTATTTTGTCTCTTGTTGGGGTTGCCAGTTCACCTTTTATTTTGAAAACGGTAATCACACCAGACAGTTTTCATTATTGTAAGCTTGACAGGAGGAGCCGGGCGCACAGTGCTGCTCCTCAGTTGCTGCCTACAATTCAAGTGTGAACCAGAAAAAAAAACACATGATAAGAGGGATGTCTGGACAGTGAATATGGGAAGCAAAACCTTACTGGCACAGAAAGGACTTTTTTAAAATGGGAAAACTGGAGTTTTGATCAGTGACAGCTGCAGGTGGAGTGTGTGTTTTGGGGATTGTTTTTTCTCATCACAATGTGTGAGGGATGGATGCGGGTCGGATGCCGGTTTATTTTCTTTACGGATACAAGGACTGGCAAGTTATCAGCATGATTTACAGAGGGCAGGAAAACTGATATCAATGTTACATTTGACTCTGGAGAGAGGACCATGGCGAAAGGGAAGGGACTGTTATTTTCACTGCTGTACTTTATAGCAGAGTTTTGGCTCACTTCGCAGCAGGTCCTGAGAATAGGTAAGTGGTAAAACTGTCTATCCTTTTAATTCATTCCCATGTGTTAATATACAGTCCGCAGTTTATTATGTGATGACAAGTCCCAGGTTGAAGGTAATTTCCCTTTGGGGTCATCTACCTAGTCTATCTTTCATTGTATACTATGTGTTATTAAAAAGTTGACTTTTTGTATAATATTTTTCACATCTTATTGTCTATAGAGCGACGCTTCTTTGCAAGATTACATTATATTTAGTTAAAGGCAGTCTGCAATGCTGAGATCATACATGTGGATGTCATGTTAGGATATACTCATAGCATTGTGCAGCTCAGACTCTGTAGCTAAGTTAAATGGGAGGAGGATAACCTTTAACTCCTCGCATGATAAACCAGAAAATGACAAAAGGGAATCACTGTGTGTTCATGGTAAATGTGTGATGCTTTCTTAGATTGAACTGTTGCTGCGTCACTATATAACTTGTTTCTGGATCATGTAATCATATTATCAGTCATCTGTAACAAACCTAATGGACAGTTGTATTCCTATGTTATTCAATAGTGGAATGATGTTTGTAGAATGTCCTTGTAAGGACAAGGGAGGTCCACTAAGGACAGAGTTCTGTGTTGTTCCCTTGAAACCACTATATCCTTTTTTTTTTTACCTAAATCATGTTAATCCACTTTGATTGGCTAAAATCAGAGTCTGTCTCTGTTCCACCATGTCGACAGCGCAGGTCAGAGGCAGATGAGTGATTATAGGATGGTCTACAGCGGCATCTAAAACCATATTCTCTTTGTGTGATAATGTTTTTTGGCACTGAGGAATGTGAAATGGATACAGAGCTATAGAAAATTGTGGACAGTCTCAGTGAAAGTTATTTAGACTTGATGCATATGCATGATGATGGCCAGTGACATCTGTGATTGTGGATCTGAGTTGCAAATTGTCTGTAAATCCTTTGAGAGTTGACAAGAGCTTAGCCTTCACTTTTAATTAGACAAACAGAGCTCCGGCTTCAACTATCCCCCTTTGATTTCTGATGTAACTTTGTAACAATGGAGCTGATATTTGCTACAAATTTTCTCTGCTCCTTTTATGGTTTGGAAGATTGCATCACATTTTTTTTTCATTTAGGCTTCAGGACTTTTTGCTACGCTCAATGCCCAGGGCAACTTTGTATTTTTCTGAATTTCTTCTACTTCTAAAGAGACTTTAAAATGGAGCCGTGTGCGTTACATAACTTTGAAGGCTAATAGGCTGGTGCCACCTCCCGTTCTATCAGTCCCGATCTGTGCACTATATTGTTAATCTCTCTAAATCATCTATCACTCTCTGAGGCCACCTAATCTTTGTCATTCTCTTCATGACCCACACACATCATAATCTCTCCCATATGGTGGGTGGCTTCGTTCAATTAACATTGCTCCGTCTTGGCAAGTGCTGGCATCAGATTGTGACTGGCTTCCACTCTTTGCACTGGGGTTGGTCATAATGGTAAATCTTCTCCCTCAAGCCCTTAAACAACTAACACTAATCTTCTTTATGCAGAAAGTCTCTTCCCCAAATATGGTACTTAGGCAGCGACCAAATCCCATCATTGGGGAGAGCACAGAAGCAGCAGCTTGTGGTCTGGCCTCCACTTGATTTTACAGTTTGTTAAAGTCCTTTTTCCTCTTGCTTGCATGCTTCATTTATTGGTGACATCTGATTGATTCATTAATGATACAACCCATATGATGTGAAAGGTTTGATAAGCTACCAGCCAGAGAAATATCCTGTAACCCTTAGATGCATAAGTGGGTCTTTTTGGACCCGGTGAGGTGGTTTTCTTGAAGTATTTTTGTAATTACATTTTTTTATCATTTCATATTCCAGTTATTCCTCAAAAAACATGTTTTGGATATCATGCCATTCTAATTTTAAATTTACATTTTAAGAAATTGTAGTTTTTGCATTACTACCCCAAGCTTCCATAAGTGGGTCTTTTTGGACCCGGTGAGGTGGTTTTCTTGAAGTATCTTTGTAATTAAAAAAATGTATCATTTCATATTCCAGCTATTCCTCAAAAAACTTGTTTTGGATATCATGCCATTCACATTTTTAATTTACATTTTAAGAAATTGTAGTTTTTGTATTACTACCCCAAGCTTCCATAAGTGGGTCAAAACTGACCCGCATGCATTTTCTATGGAATCCTATGGGAAAACGTTTTTTTTCAAAATGTAAAAGAAATTTCTAAAATTATAAATAGTGAAAAATTAAATATAAAATATTTCTAGTGTGAACCAAAATATAATACTAAATATTATACAAGAGATTTTTCTTAACCAAAATGACAATGAAATGAATGAAAATTGCATAAAAACACATATTATTCTAATACGGGTCCTTTTAGACCCACTTATGGAAGAGTGTAGGGTCCAGTCACTCGTGCATCTAAGGGTTAATAAAATCATCCCCCTAAGAGTCTTACACCCAGCGCTTTAATAAATTAGGTAGCTTTGATACAGATTATAATCCTGATTTTAATTATTTCGGTCTAAATGTTTTTGAGTTGAGTCGCAAGCAGCTATCCTCTGAACAGAGAAACCTCAGTGCTCCACATCAAACGAAGATAGTAGACTGGTTAGGACTTCCTCATTCATTCACAGTCTGGCATGGGCCCAGGTTGGAGTGGTGCTGGTGGTGTTGTTGAGGAGGGGGTGGGGGGCGCTCACTGGGAACAAGCCCAGGATGGGGAGAGGGGAGAAAGCAAAACACTACGTCATTGTGCCTCTCTGCCTTAAAAGACTCTCCTTCATTTGATAACTGCACAGATGAGAATCAGGATCTAAAGATCAGTTCCTTAATGTTAACCTGTTATTTGGGGTATTTGGATTAAAACAAGTCGACACAGCTGCCTAAACCTGAACACTGTTATGTTTCTTGCTCTGAGCACTGAAGGGAGGAACGGAAGCCCTATAAAAAGCCAAGCCTCAGGGTTTATCAGCATTTGCCTGCGGCACGAGCAGAATCTTTTGTTTTTGTGACCTCCTAAGCGTGCATCACCCCACAGCATTGTCTGGCCTATTAAAGATGAGATGGAAGCTCAGTGATCGTGAAAATTATATTGGAAAGTAATTAATGGTAGCTGTGGGCCTGTGGCAATGCTTTTTCCAACCCTTCTTTATAAATTGAATTATAATAATAAAGCCCTGATAAAAACTAGTGAACCTGCAGTGTTCAAATTACAAGGACGTTTGTTCCTTGCAAAAGAAGATGTGCTTTTATATGCAGGATATTATAGATGTTTTTATTATATTTTGAAGACAGAGTATGGATGAATTCATTATTCCTCTACAATGCACAACAGTGTGTCTTAAAAGACAAGCTTGTCGAGGGATTCATGCTTTAACATTACAGTTATACCTGCATCTCTTAGCTCAAACTTTCAATTACTGGAGTATATATGATCACAGACAGCTCTAACTTTCTCCTCAATTTGCCTGCTAAAAGTCTATTGAGTGAGTGCATTGATCCATGAGTCATCTGCAAACAGAAAGTGTGAAATGCGTATTCCCTATTTTCTCTGCATCAGTATTGGAAATGAATTCCATTTATTATTTTGGTTTGCCCAACTCCATGCAATGTGGTGGAGCTGAATATAAAAGGTGCACTGAGCCATGATCCAATGACCCATTTCTGGAGTTACGCTCAAAATGCAACCACACAGCGCGGCTAAAAAGCTTCAGGCAGGACTGTTCACAGGCCACAGGATTATGTTGCAAACAAACAAAACGGGATCGATGTCTTAGTCAAATACATCCATGTCTATGTTCTAATCTTATTTTACTGTTCAAATGTTAAAACATACTGTGATATCTTACATTAATTCAATATTAGAGTATAGGCCATAAGCTTCAAATCTGGCAAATTGTTGCTATTAATTTTAAGAAAAGCTAGAACAAAGTCACAGTTGTATTATGTGTACGGTAGTGGTTGACTAACCAAATGACAGTACAGAAATTCCAAAGATGTGCGTTACGCATTACATTGTTGGTCTAAGAGAGACCACAGAAGGGTTGAGCTGTGATAACAGTTGCTTGATTTCAAGGTGCTCAAGTAACCCTTTTTAAAATACAATACCTGCCCCCAGTGTAACTCATTATATGCCACCTTGGAAAACAATGTTGACTCAATCTCATTGGACGACAAATGTGAAAGCCTTGGCTAGAGACAGATTTAATTATTTTCCTTGGGATGTGCGCATTATGTATTGTGAGTTTCTTAATTGAAAATGCATGTAAGAGATCACATTGATGATTTCCTTCCTCAGTTTTCAACCACATGAATATATAAGCTCATTTGAAACCAATTTTCCAGAAATGAAGTGGAGTATGGTTGCTGCTTCACTCCAGATATCTGGACGGTTGATAGTGGCCATGGGCATGACAATAACTGATGATTTTATCAGTTTTTTTTTTTTTATCGTTTATTTGAAGAGCACATTGATGAACATTTTTAACAATTAAAGGTGGGGTATGTAATTTTGGAGAAACCAGCTCGAGTGCGCTAGAATTTGAAAATACACAACCAGAAAAAATCTGCCACTTCCTTCAGACTTCCTTACAGAGCCCCTCCTCCAACACACACGAACGCGCACATGACCAATGAGGGCATGAGATAGGTTTGTGCACGAGATGGAAGGCTGACAGGCAGGTCGGCCATCCAATTATTTTAGCCGGCCCGGCTAAAATAATTGGTCGTGCTTTTTACAGCACCACGGCTTGCACAGATTACATTTTTGTATGTATTTATTGTCAAAGCATTTAATATATTCATTGCTATCGGGATGTTAAGAGCATTCCATGGAATATAACAACAAGTGTTTCTGAAATAAATTACATACCCCACCTTTAATGCTTCAAAATGTAAATATGTCGGATTTGAGCTTTTAGCTAATTTCCATCCGTAGTCCCTCACATACAACATTTAAGAACATGACATTTATATACATAGCAAAAATAAATACATGATATGC